TCATCATTTCTTCCTTTCTCTTTAGCTGCTCTATGTTCAAGAGCAAGTTTCAGAGTCTCTTCTGACATCCATTTTGGTCTTTTCTTTCTTTCCTGACTTTTTAATGACCTTTTGCTTTCTTCTTAGATGATGTCTTGATGTCATGCCACAACTTCTTTGGTCTTCAGTCATTAGTGTTCACTGCATCAAATCTGTTCCTGAAATGGTCTGTAAATTCAGGTGGGATATACTCAAGGCCCTACTTTGGCTCTTGTGGACTTGTTTTAATTTTCTGCAGCTTCAGCTTGAACTTGCATATGAGCAATTGACAGTCTGTTCCGCAGTCAGCTCCTGGCTTTGGTGTGACTGATGATACTGAGCTTCTCCATCATCTCTTTCCACAGATTTAGTGGATTTGATTTCTGTGTATTCCATCTGGTGAGGTCCACATGTATAGTCGCTGTTTATGTTGGTGAAAAAAGGTATTTGCAATGAGTAAGTCGTTGGCCTTGCAAAATTCTATCGTGCAATCTTCGGCGTCATTTCTATCACCAGGGCCATATTTTCCACATACCAATCCTTCTTTGTTGCCAACTTTTGCTTTCCAATCCCCAGTAATTATCATTGCATCTTGATTACGTGTTTGACCAATTTCAGACTGCAGAAGCTAGTAAAAATCTTCAGTTTCTTCATCTTTGGCTTTGGTGGTTGGTGCATAAATTTGAATAATTGTCATATTAACTGGTCTTCCTTGTAGGTGTATGGATGTTATCCTGTCACTGACAATGTTGTACTTCAAGATTGATCTTGAAATGTTCTTTTTGACAATGAATCTGACGCCATTTCTCTTCAATTTGTCATTCCCAGCATAGTAGACGATATGATTGTCTGATTCAAAATGACCAATACTATTCCATTTCAGCTCACTAATGCCTGGGATATCGATCTTTATGCATTCGACTTCATTTTTGAAATTTTGAAATTTTCCTAGATTCATACTTCATACATTCCATTTTCTGATTATTGATGAATGTTTGCAGCTGTTTCTTCTCATTTTGAGTTATGCTATGTTAGCAAATGAAGGTCCCAAAAGCTTGATTCCATCCATGTCATTAAGTCGACTCTACTTTGAGGAGGCAGCTCTTCCCCAGTCTTATTTTGAATGCCTTCCAACTTGAGGGACTCATCTTCCGGCACTATGTCAGACAGTTCTCTGCTGCTATTCATAAGATTTCCACGTGCCAATTTTTTGAGAAATAGATCACACCAGGTCCTTCTTCCTAGTCTGTCTTAGTCTGGAAGCTCCGCTGAAACCTGTCCACCATGGGTGACCATGCTGGTATTTGAAATACTGGTGGCATAGCTTCCAGCATCACAGCAACATGCAAGCTACCACAGTATGACAAACTGACAAAACGAGTGGTGGAATATATCATAGGAATTAAAAATGAGACAGATTTAAGTTTGATCCTGGCTCTGTTTACTCTTAGGACAAGTTATTTAATCCATCTCTCTTGGTTTTATCTTAAAATGGGTATAATAATGTCTACCTCACAGAATTTTGTGAGCTAATAAAGTAAAGTGTTTAGCACAGTGCCTGGTACATGGTTAATTATTCAGTAAATGGGTGTCTTTCCTGATGACATGTCCAAAATAAGCATGCTGAAGTCTCACCATCCTTGCTTCTAAGGAGCATTCTGGTTATGTTTCTTCTAAGACTGATTTTTTTGTTCTTCTGGCAGTCCATGGTACATTCAGTATTCCTTGCGAACACCACAATTCAAATGCATCAATTCTTCTTTCTTCCTTTTTCATTGTCAAGTAGAGGCTCAGCGGAAATGAGGGAAACCCTCAGTTGAGGGCTTTTGTAAGTTTGGTTTGTTAATAGTGAAAGAAGCTGTATGTGTGCATTTTTATATACGTAGTGGAATATACTGCTTCTATTAGTTTTTTTTACTTAACAGTGTCTTGAGGAGACCTTTCCATGTCAGTGCATATAAATCTCTAACTGCATACTCCACATGTCTAAAACTGAACCGTGATCTTTTCTTTTGCCCCAAACCTGCTTCACCAGAGATTTGCCTATCTCAGTTGGTAGTAACTTCATCCTTCCAGTCACAAAAGCAAAAATCCTGAGAGTCATTCTTGGAGTCATTAGGAAGTCATGTTTGCTCTGTCTTTAAAATATATGCAGAATCTTTTTCTTACCACCTCTACTGTCCAAGTCACCATCCTTTCTCAACAGATTACTGCAGTAGCATCCTAACTTCTACCTTTGCTCCTACCCTAGACATGCACAGTAATCCTACGGTCTGTTTTTAGCACAGCAACCAGAGTGATGTTTCTGCACTCCTCTGCTCAAAATTCTCCATTTTAATCAGAGAAAAAAGTCCAAGTCCTTATAGTACCTACAAGACCCTACAAGAGCTGCACTACTGCCCCACCCTTGTCATTACCTCTGTAGCTCCATTTCCTACTACTCTCCTCTTGGGCTTCCTTGAATTTCCTCAGACATACCGAGCACACTCCTCTGCAGTGTTTTTGCACTGGCTGTTTCCTCTTCCTGGTATGCTTTCCCCTCAGATATCCACATGGCTGACCTCACCTTCGAATCTTTGCTTAAATGTCACCATCTCAATGAAGCCTACCTGGATCACCTTTTCGTTGCTCCTTATTTCCCTTACCTTACTTTACTTTTTCTTCCCCATAGCATTTATTACCTTTTAACATACTACAAAATTAATTTATTTCTCTCCCATAAGAATGTAAGCTCCATGATCTTTCTGTCTTTTCTTTGCTGGTATATCTTGAGCATCTGAATCAGTGCGTAGCACATAGTGGGCCTCTCCATAAAAATGTATGTCAGTGAAAGAATGAATCATTGTTCTCTCTTTGACAGAGACCCAAAATACCTTGATTGCCTTTCGTTTAATTTGGTCATCTCAGTAGGCAGCTCAGAAGAGCAAATTAAAAATTTGCAGTGTACTAACTGTTTAATGAGAAACTATTTTGTTCTGTAAACCTTCATCTAAAGTGAGAATAGCAGCACAACTGGAAGAACGTAATTGATGTCACTGAATTGTGCATGTAGAAATTTTTGAAATGGTATATCTTTGGCTATGTATATTTTCACTAAAAAAAAAAAAAGGTCGAGAAGGGAGAGGGTTTACGTGGGGTTGTTAACCAATGTCATAAAACAATATGTGTAGTGACTATAATAAGAAGCTAGTTTTTTTTGTAAACCTTCACCTAAAGTACAATAAAAAAAAAAAAAAAGAGAGAGAGAGAAAATAATAAAAATTTGCAGGAAAAGTGCTTGACTAGTGACTGGGGTCTAATCTGGGAGCCACAACTTGATCTTTGTGTGGTCATGGGCTAGTGACAATTCTGTTAAGTTTTTGAAAGTTTATCAAGCTATTATATTTATGATATATGCATTTTCTTGTAGGCATATGTAAAATTTTTAAAGTTTCCCATAATCTGACTCTTTGTAATAACTACTACTAACATCTTGAGGAAATACCTTCTTAAAATATTTTATCTCTTTATGTAGATTTTTAAAGTAAAATTGGGATTCTACTTGCTTTTTCACACAATAATACATCATGGGTATTTTCCCTGACATTAACTATTCTTCCAGAACATGATTTCTAATGGTTATACAAGTACTTTGAAAAGTATAAAACTCTATACCATGTACCATGGTGATATTATTCTTTCCTTAAAAAGTTGAAAATTTGTTTTAACAGGTTTTGATTTCTTCCCTTTTTCTGTAGGAGACATGGTCTCAAAGTACCGAGAACCTCTGATCCACACCTTCCTGAGGGGAACAAGAGATCCAGATAGTGCTCACAGAGCCAGCAGCTTATCCAACCTTGGAGAACTGTGCCAGAGGCTGGACTTTCTGCTGGGCTCCATGGTTCATGAGGTACTATATGTCAGTTGCTTCCTCTAATGCTTGTTTTTACTTGGACCCACATATAGTTTGGGATTGGGAGTCAGGAGACGTGTGTTCTTTTTGCCTGCCTGTGAGACAGAACAAGTAAGGTATATAATCTCTCTCTAGGCCTCATTTTTCTCGTATGTATAATGGAAGTTATATTAATAAGACCTTTTTAGTGGCAAGTAACAGGAAGTCATCTTAGCTACTTTAAGCAATGAATGGGGATTTACTGTATAAAAATTCTGGGGTAACAAACAGAATTGAAAAAACCTTGAGGAAGAGAGGATAGAACTTTAACCTGGGTCTCTGGGCCGGGGTCTCTGGGCCATCTGTGTACCTTATCTCTGTTGACAGAAAAATCTCAGGCAAATACTCTAGTTGGCCCTCTCTAGTCACAGGTGCCCTGTGTTCAGGGGGAATGCAGTTGTTTACCAGAAAAGGACTAATTTCTGTGTTTTATTCATTTGATACTTAGTGCCTGCTACATAGTAGGCACTCAGTAAATAATTGTTGAAAGGATGAATGGGCAACCAAAATAATAGCAGTACAAGGTGTTGGGTCTGGAAGTTCCTCCTGGTTTCAGAGTTTATGATTTAATGAAACGTGCATCTTGCTTTTGCCCTCTATGAGTATCTTGCGTCCTCGTGTGAATCCTTCAGCTTTGTAACTTTTATCTTTGCCCTTGTATTTATTTAGTCATCGATATGTCAATATACATTTTGCGTACCTACCATGTGCTAGGCATTCTGTTATTTAAAGATGCTGATGGGCATTAAAAGACTAGTTAATGTATGGCCAGGAGTCTTTTTATTACCACATGTGCTTGGCTGTCTTAAATATTTTTTTGGAAGAAAATGGCTTATAAATTATAAATAAGTTAAAAAACTAGAGTTTAGATTAACTTTTTAATTTACAACAAGAGACTCAGATTACTCATCTAGAGCACATAACTTCACAATAACGAAAACTTAGAAAATTGTAATAATGGCTTCTTTTACCATATTAGGATCCTGTTGAACATTAAATAATAAGTGTGTAGTAAGAAGGAATTTTCTTCAATGTCTAGTGATTGAGTCTTATAAATAAGAGGAAAAGCACACTCACAGATGTATACATACACTTGTATTCATGTTATTTCCTGATTCCTGAGTTTACATGCTTTACTTTATTGATTACAAAGGCTACTCTTAGGATTCCAACTTAGGATTTTTAGGAAAGTTATATGTTAGTCATTTCCTCTCCTTTAACTAAGAACTCTTCCTTCACAGGTCACCAGGCCTACCCCTAACCCCAACTTTTTGTATCTTTTTTTAATAACTTAGAAACAATAGTTAACATCAAAAATTCACTGACTTAAAACTTAAGTGCTCTGATGTGCATGGACCAGTAAGCACATGATCTTTGGCTGTTTTGACACTTAGCAAATCTCTTGTTCCTTAGTAGTATTAACTTGTAAGAGAGGGCCTTTTTGGGTCTATTTGGTTATATTGTCTAAAGATTTCAGCCTGTTATAACTTTACTGGGTCAGATACTGAAATGGTTCCCACATTTTTTTCTTTTTTCTTGGTCTCTTCACATGACTCAAACCAAGCTGAACCATAAAAACTACCAGCTGAAATAAGCTGATGGACCATGATCTGAACCAAACCCAAATATTACTTTTAATAACTGCTTTATTGAGATATAATTCACATACTATGCAATTCATCCATTTAAAGTGTACAATTCAGTGGCTTTTAGTATATTCACAGAGTTGTGCAAGCATCACATTTATTTTTTTTTTTTTTAACGTAGCCGTGAACTAAATAAACCTTTCCCCCCAGATCTCCAAGTGAATCAGCTCAGGCTCTAAAACTAATGAACCTTAACAATACCTGAACATTGTGATCTTCTCTGAGCCCAAAACACTGAGACCATACTTCGTTTTGAGTCCCTAAACGCTTCCCTTTCTCTCTCTTAAGGAAATTGTAGAATGCTGTTGGCATATGATTTGCTCTTGAAAGTGTTAGAGAAAGTTCTTCATTTGGTTGATTAGAAAGACTGAGCTAGAGCAGGCTTTATTACATTTAAGAGGTGTCAGCTTTCTGGAGACCCACGGCACCTGTTGATAGAGAACCAAATTCCCAGAAGCACTCAGAGATGGGAATAAATGAGGGCTCTATCACCTGAGTTCACTTGAACAGATGACTTAGACTCTGAGGTTCAGTCTTCTGATCTAGAAGATGGGATTAAAATATCTATAATGCAAGATTGTTACAAGGATTTAGAGAGAATGTATATGCTTAACATAATGATCCATTCAGCACTTTTTATTCAGAGCCTCCTATGTGCTAAGCAGTATTCTAGGCACCTAGCACACATGAAGATGGCACAGGACCGGATGTCTCATTCTGTTATACATAAGGTCACTATGAGTTGGAGTTGACTTGGAAACTGACAACAACAACACACATCAGTCCACAAGACATCTTCATGGAGCTTACAGTCTAGTGAGAGGATTCAGATAATAAAAAATATACATAGTAAATAAATAAATTACATACTATGTTAGACAATGATTAGTGCTATGGGAAAAAAAAAAGTAGAGCAGGGTAAAAGTGATCAGGATTGTACTGTTGGGTAGAGGGGAGGTTGTAGTGTTAAATAGGATATTCAAGGTAAGCCTCATTGAGAAGGTGACATTTGAGCAAAGACCAAGAAATTTTATTTTTCTATATTGAGATTTTTCTTTAAGGAGCATTTTGGTCTTGAAGGGAGCTGATGATGACAATGATGAGGATGATGAGTAGCAGGGAAGTGAGAAGACCAATGTCCTGAGTCACACATTTATCAAACACCTACGATGCGTGAGGCCCTTTGCTAGGGGCTTGGAATACAAAAACTTATGTCACCTTGCCTTTTGGTTGTACGTAATCAATGACTGCAGTTACAGTCCATTGTCAGAGGTGCTTGGTGTCAGACTTGGAGTTGGCAAAGATATACTGGAGGAGGATACCCTTGAGTTTAATTTGAAGAATGAGTAGAAATTAGGCGGCCCAAGAAGGCAGAAGTGAGCATTTCATCAGAGGGAGCGGTTTGTGCAAAGACACTGTGGTGTGGGACAGCCTGACATGTTTGAAGATCAATAGGAAGATCTAAAAGGTTGGACTGAAGGGGTAGGGGTGCTTCAGAAATGGAACGTGAATAGGTAGTAGGCTCTTTGCCTACCATGGGTGCTGACATGAAGAGAAGCACCAGTTGTGACCCTGAGCTCTTCCTTGTGTTTCAACTTAAAATCAAGGAGAGGAGCTTGGGGGCACCTGCTCCTGGCAAACCCCTTGTCCAGTGACCCTGCCCCACTTCTAAAGACCTGTATTGTTTCTGTAACATCAATCCCAATAGAGTGCATGATCATTAATAAATTGTGAGCACATGAAGGAAATAATCAATCTTTGTTTACCTTTTTATACCCCCTAGCACCTATCACAATTCTTGGCATATAGTAGGTGCTCAGTGTTTGCTGACAAAATATTGAACAAAGAGGAGGATAAGGCTGGTTGGGAAGACTAATTATAATATGTTTAATATTAGTAATAATAACAAGCACATAATACTCTTCTGAGTGCCTTATGTATGCCAACTGATCCAATCCTTACAGAGGGAACTGAGGCACAGAGAGATTGATTAATTTGTCAAGATCAAACACAGGAAGTGGTAGGGCTGGGATTTGAATGCAAGCAGTTGATTCCAGAATCCTTGCTCTTAACCACTCCCCTATATTGCCTCTCAGTTAATGTTTTCAGTTTATTTACAAGACTGCTTTTGTGTCCTTGAAAAGGAAGAGAATTGCCAAATGAGAAAATCTACCATCAGGAAGGGTCAGGTAGCTTTGTCTTAATAGAGCTTGCTTTTGGCAGTGAAACTTCAGAAGGTAGTAAATTCCCTCTGATTTGAAAAACCACGTGTTTCCATCCCACATAATTTTGGTCTCTTCTTTTAAGATGTTACTTCTTTTGTAGCATCCCACGCTTGCTTTGTCATCAATGCCAAACCAGTTTTAACATGCTTGGACACCTGTCAATCTTAGTATTTCAGCAATTGACTCTTCCTATAGTCAGATGACTCTTGTCCATTCGCATGAAAAACATGGGATACTTGGCATGGCTCTTAAATAATTCTTCATTCATTTGTTTATTCATTCAACAAATATTTATTGAGCGCTTACTCCTGTGCCAGTTATGGGCCTACAACTAAGCTATGTGCTAGGTGGTGGGAATCCAGATGTGAACACAGTCAAGTCCCTGTCCTCATGGAGCTGATATTCTAGAGGAAATGCAGTGCTTTTGTGTGGGCTTTCTCACCATGGTCTTGTAACTCCCACCCAGGTAATTGGGCGGGATTGCAAACGAGGCAGTTGTGGCCCTCCAAGGGGATTGGTCAATTTTGCTTTAAAATAGAGCCAATTCCTGAGCAGGAGAGGATCCTATCACCACCAAGGAAGAAGAGCCAGGAGCAGAGAGCGCATCCTTTGGACCCAGGATCCCTGTGCTGAGAAGCTCCTGGACCCAGGAGACAGAGAGCTGTAACCCTGAAGATGGCGAGAAGTGGTGGCAGAGAAGCGGTGGCAAGAGAGACCAGCAGGAGAGACTGCACAGAAAGCTGAATGCCCCTGGGCACTTATTGGCAGGAGCTAAAAAAAACTTTGTAACACTTGTCTGAGCAAGCAGAGGCCTAGGGCCAGAGAGAGGTGTGCCTGTAACAGCTGAAAGAGGCTGTCCTGATGGAAGAACTGTGTCCTGAGCGTCCCTGAACCTGAATTGTAACCTGTTACTTCCCTAATAAACCCCATAATCCTGAGTATTGTCTGTGAGTTCTGTGTGGCCATTGCAGTGAATTATCAAGCCCAGCAGAGAAGTAGAGAATGCTGTGGGAGGGACCGTTGGTGTCAGAATTGGTAAAGATGTCCGAGAGAGGAGTCATATCTGACCTCCACCTCATAGGAATCAGCCTTGGGCTGTTGATCTTGTTTCTCCTTCTGCCTTGTGAAGCTAGAGGAGGTCAGACACCGCCCCCAAGTCGTTTTTACAGGAAGGTAGGCAATAAACAAGTTAACAGTAAATATATAGTGTGTCAGATGGTGGTAAATGCTAAGGAGGTAAATCAAGTTAAGATAAGGGGCATGAAGGGAGCTGTTATTGTCTGAACTTGGATCTTCTCTGATGAGTGACATTTGAGCAAAGACCTGAAAGAAGCAAGGGGCTGATACAGGCAGATGCCTGAGGAGAGAGAATCCAGGTGGAGGGAGTAAGAAGTACAGAGGCCCTAAGACATGTGCTGGGGAACAGCAAGGCCAGTGTGGTTTGAGTGAAAAGGGTTAGGTGAAGAGTAGTAGGAGGCGTCTGAGATATGGTGGCCAGTCCAAAAGCCAGGACAAAGGAATAAAATGATCTAACTGATGTTTTAAAAGATTAGAGTGCCTTCTTCTGTGACAATTCTTTCAGTATCTCAGGAAAGCTCTTAAAGTATTTTGTAATCTCAAGAACGCTTAGCCTCAGTGTGTACTGGTGGAGGAAGGACTTTAACTTTGGGGAAACTTGCCTTTGGCTGCAAACTGCAGGAATTCTCCTGCATTGCATGTGGCAGGTATCATGCCAGAGGGTACTGATAAAGAACCCAGTCTCTTCCCAGAAGGAGACCTCGGTAGAATGTAAAACACAGAGGAATAAACAGACCATGAACTAGAGTGATATGATAGAGCCAAGCACAAGGTGCTGAGGGAACACAGAGCTGGGGCCACTCAGTTAGACGTGTTACGGCATCAGGAAGGTTACATTGATCAGATGTTAGACAGGCAGAGACAGAGGAGAAGCGTAATCTGTTTTGATATATAATTGAACCAACTGTGGCCACTTTCTGTGCTGTGATGGTGCCTTCTGATAGAGAAGGAATTGACATGCAAATTCAAACCTTCCACAATCTTTGTACTGAGAATTCAGGTTTTTCTGTAGATGTCAAGATTTAACATGTCTGTAAAGCATTATTATTTTTCCCAATTTCTCCTTGTTCCTGTCAAGGGCTGTGTTGCTTGAAACTAAGTCTTGATAGGCTCTTTCATCTTTCTTGCTCTTTATGAGAAGTAAACATGATTTAAGTGAACCACAGTGAGAGGCCTTTCCTAGGAACAGCAAGTAAGATGTGTCCCAGGTGACAAGTCCATGGAGCAATTTCCTTTTAATGTGGTGCCCAGAATTCCTCATGCCTGAACTCTGAGGTCTGATGGAAAGCTACTGCTTCTGATCCCACTGAATGATCTGAATTTATCACCAGTTTTGCCAGGATCGGTGCTGTTTCCTAAGTGACATGGCTAGTGAAATTTGAGGATACAGAGACCCCTCGGATGAACACTCAGGTGGGTGTCCTGGGAAACACCAAGGAAGCTAAAGTAGCCATCATGATTTTCTTCTGTGGCAGGTTAAGTGAGCAAGCTGAGGACATATGAATTAGAGGTCAGACTGTCTTTGCTGTTAGGGTTTCTTAGTTTATGAAATAAAGGAACAGACTGTCTAGTTTCAGACAAGATAGCAGACTGAATTTTAACAAAGGAAACTTTAGGAAAAGGAATGAAGATGCAGTTGAAAGGTAGAAGCCATACTTCCTTAATACATAGCTCAACTCTGGTACTTTCTCTTCTGGAATTTTCCAAAGTGGTTTTTTTTGGTAATCTTGCAGTTTGTATTATCTTTATTTATATAGTTCTGATTATGCTTGGTCTGTGCCAGCTGTTTGGGACTGATGTTTTTCCATATTTCTGTTGGCTCCTGTCAAGTGTTAAATTGCTTAAGTTGAGCTTTTAATGTATCTAAAGCAATCATCATCTTTCTCTCTGTATGTCTTTCAGAAGCAGATATGATTTATGTAATTGAGCCAGCAAAGAGAAAGCCGTCCATAATATGGCTTATTAGAATAGGTGCATTGACCTTCAGTGCAGGTGTCATGAAGATCACACAGAATGTGTTTCTGCCCTCTGGGAGAACTTAGAAACAGAGAATAGAAATACTACACCAGTTCATAAATTAGTAAAAAGACCTTACATCATCTATCTGTTGGTCAAGGCTTTTAGGGGTGGAGAGCAACACTGAGTATTTGCTTGGGGTTGAAGGTGAGATAGACTAGCCATGAGAATGACTTGTTCAAATTGGATAGATGGAAGAGAATGATCACATAGCCTTCCTGTTTCTAGTGTTTGATGAGGGGTCTCTGCCCCATTGGCCTGCAGGATAACAACCTTACAAGTTGGTTATGGGAACTTGACCTGAACAGAAGAGGTTTCTTTCACTTTTGCTGTTCTTATAACTGGATGGGAGACTCTGGGTGACACAAATGGTTAAGCTCAGCTACTAACTGAAAGGTTGGTGGTTCAAATTCACCCAGAGGCAGCTAGGAAGAAAGGCCTGGTGATCTACTTCCGAAAGGTCATAGCCATTGAAAACTATGGAGCACAGTTCTACACTGAAACACATGGGGTTGCTATGAGTAGGAAATTGACTCAATGGCAGCTGGAGTTTTGTTGTTGTTTTAATCTGGATGATATCTACAAGGCCATATTAAAATTCTGATCCACATTTCATAGGATTTGGTGCCAATGACAGAGGTGTTGAGTAAGGTTTATGAACACACTTCTTTTTTCAAGTCTCTTCTTGTTGGTTCTGGATGGATGATTGCAGATGGGCTTGGTAAGTCTGGTGCATAAATCACTAACAGCCTTGTGGCCAGCAGGATGCCATTCCAGCTGATCTCAACTAGGGTTGCAATAACCAGCTCCTTTCTCAGCCATGCGTTCAGGGTGGCAGAGAGATTCAAGAACTCATCTTGAAAGGAAAGCCCTTTTCCAGCTAGGATGCTTCTGCCTATCCTGACTGTGGAATTAGTGCCTAACAGTCAGAGCTGGCCTTACACTGAAAGCTGAGGCAGAAGCCTGGCCCATTAAGCATAATGAAGCAGAACATGGGTGGCAAAGACAGACACTGACAGGGTTCTGGCCATATCTTGGTCTGCCAGATATGGAAACATGGGCCCATAACTAAATCTAGGGGGAAGCAGGCAAAAGGCTAGGGAGCATCAGCACATTCCATGACCCTGGGCTGGCTTTCATATTTTAGTTATTGGACTGAACAAGCTGAACTTAATGTATGTCAGAAAGGACTGAGACCTAGCTGTAACTTGTTTCTCTGATTTCAGCTCTTATCTTGTAAATACTAAACCTGCAAGTAGATGTAGCTATTACATTGTTGCCTGTTTGAAGGTCACCCAAGGAATTCCTTCTAGGACTGAATTGCTTCTACCATTGATGCCAGAGGTATGGAAACCTCTGCTGGCCTTGGGGTCAGGGTGTCCTGGGTCAAATGCAGAAGAAGCTTATTGGATCTTTTTGAAAAATAGCCCATAAAGAGTTCAGTTTATCTGGGATTTCTCTTCACTTGCAAGCTGCAAGTTTGTCTAATAGATGTACAACTTAATTAAATGCCACTGCATCACAGATGCGATTATATTTAAGAACAAACTTCTTTTTCTAATCTCTTTGCCATCATTGATTAATTAGGCACTTTGAACTATGCCCAACTGTTTGAAAGCTGTGAAAAATACAACCTGCATAGTTAAAACTTCTGCACAAGGCTTATTTCCTCATTTGTGCCCTTATCCTTTTTTAAACCATTCTTTAAACATAGTATGTATTTATCCACGTTTCCAAACACACAGTCTGGCTATTTTCTTATCATGGTTAGAAATCCCTCCACTGTTGGCCAAGAAATACACTTACCCAGTTTTAAAATGAAATAGCAAAAGTATGTGAGCGACCAATCAAATAATTTAGGCTTACCTTCAGATTGTTGCTGCTACTGGTCACACTTTGAAAATTAGTGTTTTTTCTTTTAACTCTTGCACTAATGCCTCGGAAAGGTTTGTTGTTGTTGTTGTTTTTAATGTTGTCTCTTTATTGAGGTTTTAGAATAGTTTTATACCTACCAGGAGTCGGGGAGGGGGTTGGTTTGGGGTGTAGAGACTGTCTCATTTTATGAGATATGATTATTATATATCTGGCACCATGTTTTTCAGGTTATTTCCAGTCTGTCTTTTCTGTTATAGAGCCATCTTTTCAGGTAAATTAGCACTGAGAGGCCTACTTCACAAATGAAGAAGCCCAGGCAAGGAGTCTTGGAAATTGGTCCTTGGTGACTCACACAGATTGTACACTAGATTTGTGGGGCCGGAACATCTGGACATGCTGAAGATCAGTTTAAATATTTCTATATCCCTGGTCTGGAACTTTCATCAATGACACATTCATATTCATGCCAGCCCTTGAATTCTGAAGGCTGCATAGCTAAATCTCCATGGTCCTCAGTCCCTAGATACAGCCATGTTTTGAACTATCTTTTCTTCCTTCAATTTGATGTCCCCAAAGGGGGACAAGTAACAGTTCTTCCCACTTTTGAAGACATGTTCCCATTTGACCTTACCTTTTTAAAAATAGATATTATTTATACATATTACTTCCCACTCCCTAATCTGCTCCCTGAATTCCAAACCAGATTTTATCCTTTTCCAGAAAAGCCAGACTGAATCAAGATCTCTACACCTAGGTTTTTCCCTCTTTATTGAGAATGAGGAAGCTCTCCACCCCTCTCTATGCCAGATTGCTCTTGATGAATGTGAAGAAAGCAGAGCACAGTCAAAAGGCTATTATTGGTAATTGTACAGTCCTGATTTTTATTGTCTTCTTCCCTCATCCTTCTAGATAACAGCTTGCCTGATTGCTGTGGCTAAAACAGATCGTGAAGTTCAAGTGCGCAGAGCTGCCATCCACGTGATTGTGCTGCTGCTTCGGGGACTCAGCCAGAAAGCTACTGAGGTAAGTTGGTCTCTTGCCATTTGCAGCTTCTCTTCCTCTTTGTCCTTTGTCTGTTTACTAGACTTCCTTTCACTAGTGCAGGCTTCAAACCTTTCCCTAGATGGACTTATGCAGATGAATCAGTCAGCGGGGATTATGTAGCAGGAAAATTGTCTTCTTGGCATCTCCAGTAAGAGTCTCCATTTCCTCTGTAACATATTAGGCAAACTACACGCTAGCTACTGCTGAAAGACCAGAACACAAAACCAGCTTATGGATGTAGGCTCTGAATCCTGCAATTCTCTCTACAGGGGCAGGAGAGCTAGCTGAAACACACTAACCATGCCTCTGTAGTCTGAACTTTAGTAATGTGTATTCCTGTTTCATTTAATTGTTCATGTTGGATTACTAAAGGGCCTCATTCTAAATATTTCATTTCATGGGATTTTAGTTGTTTCATTTCAGTTCATGGGATTTTAATTGTTGCATAAATTAAACTTTCTTCTTCCTCTAAGTGGAAGAGGCTAGATTTCTCCCCAGGGTATGGCCAATACGGGAAGAAAGTATATATGTCCATATGTGTGCTAAGAATGAGTGACCCCTAAATTAATTTTCTTCTTGATTTTAATGGAAACTTGTTCCCAGTTGACTTTATGGAGACAGTTTGCATTAATAATGTACTTACTAGACTTCACAATGCTAGGCTGTGGCTAGCACATCAGCGTTTAACTATCAGTGAAACCATTATAAGAGTGATTGCTTTGTCAGACAAACAGGCTTTATTCATGCTAGAATTTTGCCATATCAAGTTCCTGACACCATTTTTGTACAAGCTTAGACTCATTAATTATCCCCTTCCTCCCCTACACATCCACATTTTTTCTGAAATATCTACTTGCTATTGTTTCTGGCCAGCAGTTAGACCACTGAGATTACAAATGGCCCCTTTTCTGAAGTTTATTTTCAGCTGCACTACCCTCCTTTCTCATCTGTCTTGTATAAGTTTAGGTTTTGGATTAAATATGTTTATCTGGTAGAAAAGTGTTCAGCTGCAAGTTATGAAAACTCCAACTACAGTGGCTTATGCAAGTAAGGGTTTGTTTTTCTCACATCACAAGAAATCTGTAGGTAGGTGGTGGCTGGTGTTGATTTAGCAGCTCAGTGTTATCCAGGCCAATATTTCTATAATCCTTATGGCCTTTGTCTCCTAGCTACAAGCTAGCTGCTGTAGCTCTGGCCATTATGACTGATTTAAACTAGTAAGAAGGAGGATGGAAGAAGGGCAGTCTTATTGTTCCCTTTTTTGAGGAAAGAAAATAGTTTCCCAGAACTGTCCAGCTGACTTCCGTTTTATTTCATTGGCCAGAACAGTCTTACATAACTTCTAGCTGCAAGTCAAGCTGGGAATGTATTTCACTGACAACACTGACAAAACACTGACAGAATTGAATTTTAGTTAACCAGGAAGATGGCAGAGAATAGATATTATGTAAACAACTAACAGTGTCTGATGCAAAGAGGAAGGGGAAGGATGATCACCAAACTCCTGTAGCAATAGTGTTGCTTCATAACTGGAAACACTCACCTGGAGGGGTTAGAGTTTCAGGTTTTTATCCAGGACCTTCATGGGGGTGGAGCACATAGATCATAACTTGGTAATTCATATAATCAAATAAATTGCTATAGTGGACACACAGTTCTTGCTGAGAATCTGATATACAAGAGGGAGTAAGAAAGAGTCAGTGTTTTTCATCCATTGTCAAAACTCTACGAAACTCTCAAGAAACACACCATGGTTATGTAAGGTATTAACAGTAGGGGAAACTGGGTAAGAGGCATGTGGGCACTGTCTGTACTGTCTTTGCAACTCTGTAAATGTAAACTTATTTAAAAATAAAAAGTTCATTTAAAAATATGAGTTATGACACTATTTTAAAAATCTACAAAACTCTTGAGTGCACACATACTTAGTGAGAGTGTGCCTGTATGTATGTGTGTGTGAAGCACAGCAAAATGTCTAGTTAGCGAAGTGAGAGAAGAAATAGAAACTCTTATCCAGATTTCTCACTTCCATGAGTAGCCAACAAAAGCAACACCCACCGCTGGTCTCACCAGTTCTAAAATAATTTGTGGCCATGGAAGATTTTTGTCACTTTCAAAAAGCCACGTGAATGAAAACTCTCTCACCTATTCTCCAAACCATCTCCAGTCTACACTGATTGAAACTTATAAAATGGTGCTTACTCAGTGAATAAAGAAAAGGAAATGGGATGGGATGAATGATGATTCCTCTTTTGGTGCATCCTTGAGACCAGGTGTGTTAAATCTTGTAATCGTAGGTGTGATTATCATCAGGGGCACTTTAATGAGAAGCGGAGATAACCACAAAGCTTTCAATCTGGGGTTTCTCTTTAGTGCTCTGTTTTGCCCCCAGGAGCAGCTGAAATGAAAATGCCACTGTGTTGATGGAGTTTTTTTTCTTTTTTCTTTCTAATCACTGTCTCTCAAGCCAGAGAGTGCCAAGAGACAACATCAGGTTTCAGTGAAATCTCTGTTGCTTGTAGATGTGCCGACCGACCGAGAACCTCTGGTTATGGCAGCTTGAAAAGGAGGTAGAGAGTCCAGTAAGAGGGAGAGGTTCAGAAGATTGGGGCCAGAAAAGAAAGCCATTACCACACCCAACTCAGGAGGTAGTTTTTGCTCGCCCAGAAGAGCTTTGTGC